ACTTTCGTTGAATTTTTGTTAATTAATTATAACTTAACTAAAATACCAACATTTTTATTACTGAAAAAAAGAATGAGAATAAATACCTTAATGCAATATCGAATAATTTATCAGACGTGGTTGGTGATTTCATGATCGGAATTAGATCGTATCGGACAATATTTCTCTCACCGCAAATACGTCGTGCCACTGCCATAGCCGTATCATTTCGTAGGAATCGTACCAAATCCCGTACACTTTCTAATTAATTTAAATTAATTTAAAATAAAATTCTTTCGAAAACTTTCGCTCTGGTTCAAAAATAAAAAAAAAATAGTTTTCCTTTTCGAACAGAATCTAATGACAAAAAAACTTGCAAAAAAAAATAAAATTCGAGAAAAACTCAAAAGAAGAGGAGTTACTTTTTCTGATAACATACCAAAACAGTCCGGTTCCGGATAATAAATGCCATCTTCCAGAAAACCTAACGCATTAATTGTTGCTTGAATTATTCGTTCCATTGGGAAAAAAATTTGAACATTTATCAAAACATCTGAAATGCGCATGCTATTATGGACAGAAGAAGAAAATTGCTATTAAAATCTCACCACTTAATAACTGATATCAGTGATCGAAATTATCAATAAGCAAAATCGATCACTTCCAACAGCGGCATACACATGGCGTAAATTATTCAAAATTTCAAATTTGACTATTCCGCCACAATTGAAAAGAGAGACAACAGTGAGGTGTGTGGATGACAGAGAGAGATGCTTACCGTAAAATAAACGTTGTGAGATGGTCCGATATTGAAAGATTCGATGATTCAATTCTTAAAATTCCAATATACAAACTCTTTCCTTCAAAATTTCAACAAATTCTTTTTAAAATTTCAAAATTTTTGAGCTGTATAATTGCTACACTTTGCACCGTTAGGTTTGAATGATTGAAATTTAGTTTGAAAGATTTCTTTATCCATTTTTAATTTTAACTATCAAAATTTTTGCTTTTTGGTTGCGAAGTTTTAATTAAAATTTGTAAAATTTCTGTTCAAATCGTTAACATTATGATCTTTAATTATTTGAGTTCCAAGCAAAATTTTAATGTAGTGTATTGAAATTTCAATTAACATTGAGATTTTTTTTCCGGATTGTTAAAGTTTCAATTCTAATTATAGAAATTTCAGTTTTAACTATAGTGAAATTTAAATTTAATTTTCAATTTTTTTATTCTTCCAGCATATTCTGTTTACCCAATTTACGACGGATAATATTGCAAACGAACAAATAAATCAATAATTGCTGACCGATATTCAAACGAACTGATAATTGGAAAATGCCATGAAGAAATTCAGGCGTTTTAATGAATTTAAAATTTTAATCATTACCTTTCCTGTTCTTTAATATTTGACCTTTTACGTTTGGTTTGAAAGTTTTTTTCCTCGAGAA